AGTGAAGCTCGTAGTCACGCCGTGCTGCTACGTGTAGCAGCGCCCAAAGAGTAGTCATCTTCAAGGTCGGTCCGAAGGTCTGAAAGTAGTCCACCCCCTTACGCAGAGTGAAGCCTCGAGCCACGTAGCGCGCCTTGAACACAGGCGGCTCACCAGAAGGGCGCTGCACCTTGAATAGCCACCGACCATCGACTATGTTCACCCCAGGTGGGGGAACTGCGTCAACGTAGGTGCCGGTGGATCTCCAAGATGCCCATCTCCTGCTCCATGGCAGCTATCCACTGAGAGTCCCAGGGTCCCGAGGTCGCCTCAGCGCAAGTGCGAGGGGTCGGGATGTCAAAGGCGTCTGGGTCACCCTCAGGGACTAGCAGCATGGAACAGAGATAGAGAGCAGCCTAGGGGAGGAAAGCCTGCTCGTAATGCCTGTCCTCGAGGACGTCACTGCCAAGGGCAAGAGCACCCCGGATGTAGGGGGGGCAAGCAGGGCCAGAGACCAGAGTTGTGGCATAGTCAAGGCGGCGGGTAGAGGCGAAGTCAGCGACAGCAGCGAAAAGAGCGTCAAAATCGAGACTGGAACAGACGGGTCGGTAACGAGAGAGGCAAGGACCCAAGGAACAAGAGGACGAGCAGTACGAAGGTAACACAGGACCGTGTACAGGAAGGGGAGGAGGAGGCAGGGGAGGCGCAGGCGAGCGGTTAGGGGAGGGAAGGCCGAGCAGGCGAAGGGCGGACACCGGCGGCGACTGCAGCTGCTGTTGCTCGACGCCGACACCTAGACCGCCAGCCGCACCACGGCTACTTCCGAAACACTCCTCTCCAGCACCCCCAGAGCAAGCAACGCAGGAAGACCTAAGACAACGTAGGGAAGGGAGCGACGCAGGAAGACCTAAGACAAGACCCTGCTGTGATATGTGACGCAGACACGGGAGTGCAGGTTGACCGAGGCGGTGGTGCCACAGCAGCGATGGGTAAGTGAGCGTCCGATACGAGCAAGCCGCGGCTACCTGGGCGGACGCCCTCACTGAGGGGGACGTAGTGTCAAGCGTAAACAGGCCGGGCACAGGGTCCAAGGGGAACGTCGCAAAGGGGGCACCTGAGGTGGTCTCGGTACAGACAGCGTACCGCTCGTGTCCGGGGAACGTGGTGGTGACGCCGAGGTCCTAAAGACAGCCGACACCAACTAGGTTCCTAGAGAACGAGGGGATGTGCAGGCCTGTAAGAGTGTCCGAGGGGACCGCTGGACAGGGAAGGGTGGTGGAGCTATGTGCAACTACTGGACCGAAGGAGGGGTCTGCAAGTGCGACGGTGGCAGGGGCGGCAAGCGGCGTAAGAGAAGTGTGGTCGCGGAAGAAGCAGGTAGACGCACCGGAGTCGAGTGTGAAGGAGAGCGAAGCGCTAGCGGCTGCCAGCAGAGGGGCTAGTATGGATCCTAGGCTAAACAAGGCAGGGATCCTATGCCTGACATAGCAGGGGAGCCTAGAATACATACGGTGGGCACACCTACGCTAGGCAACACCGGGTAATAGGATCCAATGACACTAGAGTCATCAGCATACATGACAGACATAGCATTCCTAATCTAATCCATATCAAGCTCAAAGACCGGCACACGACAGCGCGAAAGGGCGTACCACTCCAGAGGGTCCGACGCAGGACCGAAGCGGTGGCGGAACAGGTCGTCCAGGCAGCGGTAGCAGCGGTCGGCGGTGTGGCCGGGCCGGAGGCAGACAGTGCTGCGGCGAGGGCCGGTCTGAACCTAGTACTGGCACGTGACCGCGCTGGAGCTGCCACCCAACACCGAGCTGCGCCCGCCCCCCCCACGACCACCGCTGCTAGCGCTGCCGGTCCACCACAGCGGCGGCGGTCCCCACAGCGACTGCTGCTGCTGGGCCGACAGCGGCGACTGCTATGGCTGCTGCTGCTGCTGCGACTGCTCCAGGGCACCAGCCTCGGACCCCTCATCTGAACCACCGTCCCCGCCCTCACCGCCGCCACCCTCCCCATCGCCACCCCCCTTCCCTCCACCCCGCCCCCATTCGGGGCGGCGACCCTTACCCGGACGCTTCTGCGCTGAGGCCGCAGCAGCGGTCTCAGCAACAGCAGCAGAGACGTCGGAGTAAGTGCACTGGGAGGTAGCACAGCTCTGAAAGTTAGGTACCGCCGCAGTACCGCTAGACTGAGCGATACTGTGCTGGCGGGTCTTTATCTCAGAAAGGAAAGTGACAAAGGCGGTGAGGGTGAGGTCACCTGGGTGCTGACTAAGGAAGTGGTCGCGGGCTGTGGCTAGGCGGTCAGGGAGGTGCATGGAGCAGAGACAAAGGGTAGCGCAGAACGGCGGTGGGAAGGCAGTGAGCTGTGCCTCAGTGCTAACAGCGCGATAGGTCGTCTCAAGCGCGCGAAGGTGCGTGGCAAAGTCGGCGACAGGGGGGAATGACGCAAGATCAGGGAACAGCATGGAAGGATCAGGCGACGGGCAGAGGCAGTGGGGGGGGTGGACTAACGCGCTATGACAGCATATAAGAAGGCCTGGGCGTTCGCGACAGTGGTGAAGCGAGGACGCTCAGCCAACGGGAGCGCACGGCTGTTAGCAAGCTGGGCAACAGCATTGCGCGAGCCCAAGACAGCACGATGAAGCGCAGCAGCGGAAAAGGCCTCACGCTCAGCAGTGGTGGGGGCATCAGGGAGGGCAGTAGGGGCAGGGGGGCGGGGAAGAAGGCCATCGACATGAACAGCCAGGAAGTGACCGTCCTTGAGCTGACCTGTAAGGTGACGCCGAAGGTCGACGAGCCACGTCTCAAGGTCGAGAGCCCGACCCTCTGCGTCCAGACAGAACTGTGACTCCGCCATCGCCACTGCTGCAGCTGCTGACGGCCGCTGACAAAGTGAGGAGGACAGGTGGAGGAAGCAGTGAAGAGGATGGAGTGCGGTGTAGTGCGGTGTAGTGCGGTGGAGTGCGGTGGAGTGCGGTGGAGTGCGGTGGAGTGCAGTGGAGTGCAGTGGAGTGTAGTGGAGGGCGGTGGAGAGCGGTGGTGACAACCGGCAGGGAGGCTTGCACTGAACGGAGCCAGGGACGGTGGGTCGGCGCTAGGGCTCAACGGTCCGGCGGTCGGCCGCGGAAGCGGGGGTCGGCGAAGCTAGAGCCGGCTGGTTGGCCGACCAGCTGACAAGGGCCGACGGGGCGCACGGGGCCGATAGGGCGCGAACGGGCCGGCAGTGCGCTAATGGGCCGGCGGGGCGCACGGGGCCGATGGGGCGCTAACGGGGCCGAGAGGGCGTACGGGGCCGACGGGGCGCGAACAGGGCCGTGAGGGCGCACGGGGCCGACGGGGAGCTAACGGGCCTACGGGGCTAACAGGGCCGGTGGGACGCATGGGGCCGACGGGGTGCTAAGGGGCGGCTAGGAACGGGTGGCTAGGGCTAGGACGAGAGCGGAAGTGCGGGTGGGCGGGGAGGACCTAAGCTAGGGCGTAATACCATCTCAGAGTAGAAAAGTTTGAGCAAGTGTTGTACCCTCTAAGAGCATGCATCTATCTAGCCTATTATAACATATACAAATATGTTTGACACCTAGTACCCTCCCTACAGAAAGAAGAGGTTCGACAGGGCTATCCTAATGCCATGACACCCCCCCCCCCGATGGGAAAACGTGCACACCATGGATTGAACCCTGGATCGCTCTGATACCAAGACATAAAGTCACCAGTCGTAACCACTGGGACAAGAAGGAATGTCCTTAAGAGAGTTAGGCTCCATAGTACCCTCCATAGAGAGAAGAGGTTCGACAGGGCTATCCCAGTGCCACGACACCGCCAACCAGACTTTTTCCGCTGACCCACCTGCCTCAACAATACCAATCTGCAACCTGCCGTTTGGGCTAGAGTGATGCTTGGATTGGATAGGATAGAGGTGGGGGGGGAAGGAGAAGTGTGGTGGTGGAGTGGAGTGCAGGAAAAGGGGGCTGCAGATTGCTGTAGTTCATATAGTTTGTTATATGGCAAATAGTGGCTACCAGGCCCCCAAATTGCAGCCTTTTTACGCTGATTCAGCCCTTTTTCAGGCCCTTTTCTGGTACCTACGCTGATTGCTAAGCCTTTTTTTTAACCCTTAGCCTGATTTTTCAGCCAGGTTTTGTGTTCCTACTCTGGATTTTCAGCGTTTTTGTACAAATGTACACTGATGCCCCAGCGCTATAGGGGGGCAGTACCCTGAACACAAATTTCGGCTAAGTCCCCCATATCTAGAGACAACCTTCCCACCCACGCACTTCACATCGGCGAAGTCCGAACGCGAAATCCTCCAAACCCCCCTGCAACAACTGAATATCGGCTAAGTCATTTATACTAGAGACGTTTCTCCAACACTACTAGCAACCGCTGGTTTTCGGCTAAGTCCTCACAAAAAGAGACGATCCTCCGGCCCCCCGGCAAAACTTAGAATTTACGGCCGAGTCCTCCATACTTAGGCTAGAGAGACATTCCACCCACAACATCCCCCCGTTGCGCACGCCTACAAAACCTGACACAATCCATCCAACCAATCAAACGATTGCAATTTGTATGGCGCTGTTCATAGATTGACTTTTGACGACGATCGAACGGCTCACGTTCCAATCACTTCTATTTCACATTTCTTGGCCATCAATTTTGTGATGCCTATGTGTCGGATCGACTTTATGGGACCGTCAAATAAGTCGGACGACGATCTAACGGTTAGCATCCATTTGTATCACAAAACTTTCTCGTTGGGCCACTCAGTTCTGTTTTCGGTCTGATTCTTTGAACAAGGCCTTCGTTTTCGTGTGAACGTTCATATTAAATGTCTCGTTACTATGTTCAATGGAAACTTCGGATCAGCGTAAAATCTAGGTGCAACGCTGATTGATCAGTGATTTTTTTTTTAGGCTACCCTGATTTTTCAGCCCTTTTTCGGGGGGCGACGCTGATGACCAACCCAAGGAATGGCAAGGGACACTGAGGGATCAGCGTCCCCCAAAACCAATTTGGGGGCCAGGTGGCTACATTACAATACAATGGGTAACGCAACACAGCACAAATGCATTTCCAAGGGTCCAAGATTTTGGACCCATCTCTATGAAAACAGAGTAGTTCTTAAGACAATGGGGGACCTAACGGAGTGCCCCAGCTCGTCCTTCCAAGTCAGGCTACCGAACAGAAACTTATTGAAAGTTAAACCCGGGGGCGATATGAAGGTCACGGAGTAGGTGGCCGTCCGCCCGGGCAGGATGCGAAATCTTTGAGGCGACACCTTGGTATAGACAAATGGTGGGCTCTTCACAATAGCCCGGTAGGTCGATGCGGTTGCTGCAACATTGGTTACTCTTCGCCGCACCACCACGAAACCAGAAAACCGTGTCACGGAAATACTCGGCCGGTTTAACCGAGCTGCTTGTATGGGGTACAGCCGTTCCCCGGGGTAAGCCGATGCCGCCATTCCCAGATTCTGCCCGGCCAGAAAATTCCTAAAATCGGCCACCCGGAGATCGTACGTCAGCCCGGGATTCAGCAGCCTGACAGGATCTACGTGTCCAGCTCCCATTTGCCACGGATTCGCCCGTTTCCCGGACCAACTTACTATCGGCCTCCCGGTACTACTGGTAGCCCGCGCAGTGGTTGTAATCGCAGACATAATCTGTCCCACACTCCAGGAGGGGTACCTCTGTATAAGCAGCGCAGCGATCCCGGCAATGTGAGGCGTAGCCATGGAGGTGCCCGAAAGCTGGGAGAAGAGCGAGGTGGACGGGGACGCGAGCCTTCGGGTAGAGGGGGCCGCAGACCAGAGGTTGACCCCCGGGGCGATGATGTCGGGCTTGAGGATGTCATTGGTTGGGCGGCCGTTGCGCGGCCGCGAGGAGAGGGAGAGTGGACCGGTGGAGGAGAAATCGGCCACGTAGGGCGGGGCGAGGGAGGAGGGGGAGGGCGGGGAGGGCGGGGTGGTGGAGAGGGAGGTTGAGGTGGAGGGGGAGGGGGAAGAAAGGTTGTTTGGTAGTGATGGTGATGGTGATGGTGATACTGATACTGAATCATTGAAGTTACTAGTGGTGGTGGCACTGCTGGTGTTGACGGTGGGCGTGACTGTTGATGCATGTGACAGTGTCTTGGTGAAGGATACACCGGAGAAAGAGACAGAGCGACTGATGGTGCTGGAGATGGGGGGTGGAGGACAGGCAGTGCACACATGTAGAGGGAGCTGGAGAATCATGACGACAAAGGCTAGTCAGAGCACACGCATGGCATGGAAACAGAGATGTAGAGATGTAGAGATAAAGAGATGTAGAGATATACAAGGGCACGAGGTCGCAGATGGTGCGCGAGAAGGAAATTTGCTCTGGCATGGCACATGATGTGATGGCATGTGATGGCACGTGATGGCACGGCATGGCATGGCATGGCATGGCATGGCATGGCACGGCAGGGCATGGCATGGCACGGCAGGGCATGGCATGGCATGGCACGGCATGGCACGGCATGGCATGGCATGGCATGGCATGGCATGGCACGGCATGTGGTGCGAGCGAACAGTGATGTGGAAGGGCGATAAGTTGCAGATGGTATATGTGAAAGAGTACCGAGAATCCTCAAAACAGGGCATGGCATGGCGTGGCACGGCCTTACCTGGCCCCCACGGTGATGTAGAAGGGCGAGAAGTTGCAGATGGTGCGGGTGTAGGAAGGCGCACCGCCATTGCCCGCTGCAAAGACAACCAAAATGCCCGCCTGGAAGCACAGCGGCATGGGGAAAGTGGGAGGGGAGGAGAGGGGAGTGGATGGGAGGGGAGGAGAAGGGAGGGAGGGAGTGGAGTGGAGGGAAGGGGAGGGGATGGGAGGGGAGGGGAGGGGATGGGAGTGAGGTGAGGGGAGGCAGGCGGGCGGGCGGGCGGGCAGGCGGGCGGGTGGACGGTTTCATTGAGGAGCTTCAACTGGATGGCTGCATCCATTCCCAAACAAGCCCCACACTCCCCACACTCCCCACACCCCCCACACTCCCCACACCCCCCACACTCCCCACACCGCCCACACTCCCCACACTCCCCACACCCCCCACACCCCCACACTCCCCACCCCCAACACTTTCCACACCCCCCACACTCCCCACAGCTCACCTCAAACGCTCTGAGGAACAGCAGGTCGTCAAAGTACGTGGCAGAGGGGTCGTACAACCCCCACGCAAGGGACTGACTAAGCACATGCATCCAACACATCCCACTCCGCTGAAGCAAAACCCAACCCAACCCACTGACCCACTGGTCAACCCACCCAACTCACCCAGCCAACCACTCACCTCCCCCGTGCGCCTGCCTACCAGCGCCTCACCTCAAACGCTCTGAGGAATGGCAGGTCGTCGAAGTACGTGGCAGTGGGGTTGTACCCGCCCAGGGAGAGGCTCAGCACATCCACACCGTCGGATACAGCCCGATCGACGGCTGCAAAGAGGTCGGCGTAGTTGCCCGAGTCGAATCCCCCCGCCACCCGCCAGAGGACCTTGTACATGGCGATGCGTGCACGGGGGGCCATGCCGCTCGCACGGCCGAGGGACTGAGTGGAGGAGACCTGGGCTGCTGTGTTGGCGTTGCCTGCTGCGGCTCTGGTGGGTGGTATCAGGGGGGGTGGGGGGGAAGGGGAAGAGGCGGGGTTTGGGTAGGGAAGAGAGGAGAGAGGAGGGGGAACAGGGGGTTATGCTGCTGAGATGCACCATGGGCGAGTGGTGGCATGGCAACCGGGGGGGGAGGGGGGGGGGAGGGAGGGGGAGAGGGGGGGGGGGATGGGGGAAGAGGTGGGGTGTGGACAGGGAAGAGAGGGAAGGAGGGGGGACAAGTGGTTATGGAGCAGAGGAGGAGTTATGGGCGATTGGTTGTAGTGGCCAGCATAGTGGCACGAGGAGCCCAAGGTTAGAGTCCTACGGGTCGTACCCCCCCCCCTTATCCGCCAGAGCGCGTTGTACATGGCGATACAGGCGTGGCTGTGGTAGCGTCGCCTGCTGCGACTCTGATGGGTGGTTGGTGGTTTCTTTGGTGGGTTGGTGGGTGGGTGGGTGATGGGTGGTGGGTGGGTGAGGGGAGGGCAAGGGAATACGTGGAAGATGAACGGAGGGAACGACTGGGCGAGGCGTACTCTCACACACGCCCCCCTTGTCTCTCTCTCCCCCCACCCCCCTCCCATCCTCACACATGCTCACCCTCGCACTCACCCCGCGCACCACGTGCCGTGTCCCACAGCATCCCTGGGTGACGCATACTCGCGCGTCCAGTCGATCTTCGTGCCGCCCGCCTCCAGCGCCGCCCGGAAGCTGCTGCCGCCCACGAGCTTGCCAGAACAGGCCGAGGCGGGGAAGTCGGAGGCGGTGGGGCAAGAGCCATGGAAGGAGGCGGGCGGCGGGCCGTAGGGTGCGGACGTCTGGGGAGCAGGGGGGGAAGAGAAGAGGGAGGAGAGGGGAAGAAGGGGCAAAAGAAGCGTGGTTGGAGGGGAGCATGAGGGACCAATGGGGGAAAGAGAGAGAGCGGGGGGGGAGAGAGAGAGAGCAGGGGGGGAGAGAGAGAGTGCAGGAAGTATGGTGGGGGGGAGGGTGCGGAGAGGGCATTCTACCCCGCCTTCAGGCCTTCAGCACCTCCTGTGAGGAGAATAATAAAAAATCGCACTCAGCACCTCCTGTGCGGAGAATAATAAAAAATCGCATTCAGCACCTCCTGTGCGGAGAATAATAAAAAATCGCATTCAGCACCTCCTGTGCGGAGAATAATAAAAAATCGCATTCAGAACCTCCGGTGCGGAGAATAATAAAAAATCGCATTCAGCACCTCCTGTGCGGAGAATAAAAAAAAATCGATTTCAGCACCTCCTGTGCGGAGAATAAAAAAAAATCGAATTCAGCACCTCCTGTGCAGAGAATAATAAAAAATCGAATTCAGCACCTCCTGTGCGGAGAATAATAAAAAATCGCATTCAGCACCTCCTGTGCGGAGAATAATAAAAAATCGCATTCAGCACCTCCTGTGCGGAGAATAATTAAAAATCGCATTCAGCACCTCCTGTGCGGAGAAAAATAAAAAATCGCATTCAGAACCTCCGGTGCGGAGAATAATAAAAAATCGCATTCAGCACCTCCTGTGCGGAGAATAAAAAAAAATCGCATTCAGCACCTCCTGTGTGGAGAATAATAAAAAATCGCATTCAGCACCTCCTGTGCGGAGAATTAAAAAAAATCGAATTCAGCACCTCCTGTGCGGAGAATAATAAAAAATCGCATTCAGCACCTCCTGTGCAGAGAAAATAAAAAATCGCATTCAGAACCTCCGGTGCGGAGAATAATAAAAAATCGCATTCAGCACCTCCTGTGCGGAGAATAATAAAAAATCGCATTCAGCACCTCCTGTGCGGAGAATAATAAAAGATCGCATTCAGCACCTCCTGTGCGGAGAATAATAAAAAATCGCATTCAGCACCTCCTGTGCGGAGAATAAAAAAAAATCGAATTCAGCACCTCCTGTGCAGAGAATACCTCCAGCAGCTGCTGTGGACTGTGGGGGGCGGAGCGCCATTGCCCTTACAGTTCACCTCGGGGTCGCAGGTCAGTCCAGTCCGATGCAGAGCAAGGTGCAAAAAAACGGTTTCCGTATTAAGCGGTCCGTTTTTTACGGTCGTTTTATACGGCAGATTTATGGAAATTCTACCGTTTTCTTGTTAGAGTCCCCCCCCCCCCCCCCCCCTCTTTTTTTTTTTTTTTTTTTTTTTTTTTTCCTTTTTAACCCTTAACTTAAAAAACCGCTTGGAAACAGAGCAGCGACAGCCTACGTGCATCTAAAACACCATCCTTGTCCTCCTAGACCTGCTTTCATTGTCCTTCTCGCCCTTCCTTCACCCTCCTAGTTGTCCTCCTCCTAGTCCTCCTACTCTACTCCGGCTCTGCTCCTCCTCCTAATTGTCCTCCTCCTCCCCACCCTAGTTCTCCCCTTCCTCGCTCTAGTCGCCCTCCTCCTCACCCTCCTTGATATAAAGCGAACTTCCGTTTTTCACGGCAGTATGAAAAAAACGACCGCATAAAACGGCCGTTTTTTTGCACCAGACAGAAAACACCACTTTTAACTGTTTTAATCGTATTAAACGGCCGTTTTATACGATCCCGTTTTATACGGTAAAAAAAAGTAAAAAACGCCGTTTTTTTCCACCTTGATGCAGAGAATGCATTATGCAACAACGTGCCGTGCACCTTCCACCTTCCACCCATCTGACCCATCACAACACCCTGTTCTTTTGTTTATTTGTGGCTTCTAAGAATCGCACTGCCCACCCCAACCCCAGCCCGCTCACATCATTAGCAAATGACTTGTGTTCGGGCCAGATCCCCGTGTCAATGATCCCCACCACCACGCCCTCCCCTGCGCTGCCCTCCCTGGCGCTGCCCTCCCCGGTACCGCCCACCCCACCCGTCCCTGCCCACCCAACCCCAGCCCCCGCTCACATCATTAGCAAACGACTTGTGTTCCGGCCAGATACCCGTGTCAATGACCCCCACCACCACGCCCTCCCCGGCGCTGCCCTCCCCGCCCGCCGCGGCCCAGAGACTCTCGGGCAGCTGAAGAAAGCTGGGCGTGGCAGTGGTGAGCGCGCGCACCTCCGAGCTACGCTGCACTGCCGCCACTGCTGAGTGGCGCCGCAGCCGCCACACCTGCTTCGGGGAGAGCACTGCTGCGAAGGAGTTGCCTGCAAAGGAGTAGCTGGGGGATGGGGTTGTCGTGATGGGGGTAGGTGTGATGGGGACCGTGGGGGGAAACGGGAGGAAGGGGCAGAGGGGGAGAGAGAGGGAGGGAAGGAGGGAAGGAGGGAGGGAGGGAGGTAGGGAGGGAGGGAGGGAGGGAGGGAGGGAGGGAGGGAGGGAGGGAGGGAGGGAGGGAGGGAGGGAGGGAGGGAGGGAGGGAGGGAGGAAGGGAGGGAGGGAGGGAGGGAGGGAGGGAGGGAGGGAGGGAGGGAGGGAGGGAGGGAGGGAGGGAGGTGGGGAGGGGGATGGGAGAGTGAAAGAATGCGCAAGCAGCCCGCCATATCTGCTTGGGAGAGAGCAGAGCTGCAAAGACTTTGCCTTCAAGGGGATAGAGATCGGGCGAAGGGGGATTGAATGGGTCTTATTGCATTGTTGCACTGAAACTCATTCCGCCTTCCACCTTCCAGTCCCTTCCATTCATCCCACTCCTCCCCCTCCCTACCCACCCTCCCCCCCCCACTCCCCTTCCGTCTCACCTATGCACCACCTTGTTAGCACTGAGTCCTATGTGAGCCGCCACCAGCCAATTTACTAGACGCCTCAGAAGAACTCCTCTCTCCCCCCGGTCTCTCCTATACACCAAAATGCTTGCACTGAGTCCAGCCCTACATGAGCCGCCACCAGCCGATTCTGTAAAGCCCAGGAAGTCCCTCACCCCCCAGTCTCACCTGTAAACCAAGTTGTTAGCGCTGAGCCCTACATGAGCCGCCACCACCTGCTGCTGCCGCTGCAGCATGCGCTTGAACGCACGCACGTGCGGCAGACGCGGATTCACCCGCCACTGCCGCCGCTTCCCACCAAGAGCACTCACGCCCCGTCCTCTTCCTCCTCCTCCTGCCGCTGCTGCTAACGCTCCTGCTGCTCCTGCTGCTCCTGCTGCTCCTGCTGCTCCTGCTGCTCCTGCTGCTCCTGCTGCTCCTGCTGCTCCTGCTGCTCCTGCTGCTCCTGCTGCTCCTGCTGCTCCTGCTGCTCCTGCTGCTCCTGCTGCTCCTGCTGCTCCTCCGGCATTCACGGGATCAGCAGCAGCAGTTTGTGAAGATTCACCCCCTGTTAACTCCGTGTCTTCTTCTCCTCCTCCTCCTTCTCCTTCGGAGGGCTGGGGGGGAGCGATGGCGGGGAAGCCAGGAATGCCGCCGCTGTAGGACACGATGGGGGGGGCGGAGCGAAGGTGCACGATGTAGAGCGCGGCGGAGGCGGAGGCGGAGGCGGAGGCGGAGGCGGAAGAGGGCCGGGCATCTGCGAATGGCGCGCGGTGAGGAAGGGGGGAGGCAGGGGGTGGGATGGATGTCGAATATTGGATATCGAATTCGGGTCCTGCGAGTATTGGGTTCTTTTGGAGCGTTGGGTTCTGGGAGTTTGCTTTGGGCAAAGAGACAGGAGCCTAGGACCTTGCTGCTGCTGGTGTGGGCAGTACTTCCCGTACTCCCCGTGGTGCCCCATGCTGCCCCGTGCCCGTGCTGCCCGTGCTGCCCGAGCTGCCCGTGCTGCCCGTGCTGACCCGTGCTGCCCGTGCTGCCCCGTGCTGCCCCGTGCTGCCCGTACTGCCCGTGCTGACCCGTGCTGCCCCGTGCTGCCCCTTGCTGCCCCGTGCTGCCCCTTGCTGCCCCGTGTTGCCCGCGCTGCCCGTACTGACCGTGCTGCCCGTGCTGCCCCTTGCTGCCTCGTGCTGCCCGCGCTGCCCGCGCTGCCCTTGCTGCCCGTGCTGCCCGTGCTGCCCGTGCTACCCGTGCTGCCCGTGCTGCCCGTGCTGCCCTTGCTGCCCGTGCTGCCCGTGCTGCCCGTGCTGCGCCGATGAATGCCAGCTACTTACTGCGAATGGAGACAGTCGACGGAGCGAGGCAGGCGGCGATAAGAAGAGACAGGAGCACCGAGGCGACGGACGCGGTCGTACGGACCCCTCCTCTGCGACGCGTGCGACGGCGAGCGGTGTCGCGTGCGACTATCATGATTGGCGGACGGCGTGCACGTGCGTTTCAATCGAAACGGCCACTGTGCGAAACGTGCGACGACGGCGTCTTCGCACACAAGAGGTAGAGCTGAAGGGAGGGCGAACCAGTGGTGCGAAATCGGAGTCGGCTAGGGTTGTCGTGGCCGGCAGGAGAGAGAAGAACGGGAGGGCAAGGGAGAGGCACCCCCTTGGAGAGGACGAAAGGGCGATCTACAATAAGCAGTCTGAAGCCTCTGCTCTATCAGCGGCTTCTTGTTGCACAGTCGGGGATACCGCGCCGTTCTCTCGGTCCGCGTGCTACTACGAAAATGACCGAGGACGACAGAGGAAACGAGGGGAGCGTCGTTGCGGCGGTCGGTCTCTAGGTGGTTAGCGGAGAAATTAGGGTTGTGTTCATGGAATGGGGCTACTGACGCTTAATAAGAACGTTCCGCTGCAGGTGGGCGTGACGACTACTACTAAGCGTCCCCCCTACGACGCCTGCCAGTGCTCCTCTACTGCTGCTGTTGTTGCTGCTGCTGTCAATGGTCGCGCTGCAGCGGCGATGGAGCCGTTTCTGCTACTAAGCTACTGTACGGAGGCGGCGACCTTTCGTGGCTCTCGTTTCGAATTTCGAACCAATCTAAAAAAGGCTCTGCCTTTCGTTGGCGCTCCCCCCAAGCCGCTGCGGTGCGATCCAAACCAAGCCCGGTGAGACGGGGCACCAAAGCGTGGCGCCAGGCGAGTTGGGCTTGGGGAATGGGCTCGTGGGTGGAAACCTTGGGTTGCGTCTGTGTGGTTGACGCGGTGCGTTTGTTATATGTTTTAGGCGCCAGGGGAAATGCAACAACAGGAACTAGAGTACAGTGCAGGGGTGAGGGAGACTCAGGGCGTGAGAGAGCCTGTTTGCGGGTATGAGGGCATGGGGCGGTGAGGGAGGGGTGGGGGAGAAACTACACTGTAGGGGGGATGGAGAATTTTTGGCAATGTAGGAAATTAGAAGCTGCATTAGGGCGTCACTAAAATCGTTTTGGCAACTACCATACTAAACCGTTCTAAAAGTTAATTGACCGTTCCAGAACGCTAAATATATTCGCGAACCGCAATCGGACGTCCTTTGTGCTGGCGCACTCCGCACTCGAGCATAATTGGGGCCGGTTTTCCACCGACTGAAATTCAGTCCTGGGGTAAGTTGAGTACAGTTCGAAACTAAGGGTGTGCTTCTAGAAGGTATCATCCCGATAAAGTGTCATCCTAGAATGCTGGAAACCCATCACAACGGTTGTTACCATTCTCGGATGACACTTTCTCGAAATGACACCGTCGAAAAATACGCCCTGAGTTCCGAAACCAGAGCTCGAGAGACCGTAAGCTCGAAGGAGAGTCAACGCAGGTGTGGCGATGTTACTTGAATTTCACTTTAACAAGGTTCAGTGCGATTTGTGACGATATAGAGCAATTTGTTTATCAGATACTACGTTTGGGTGGGGTTAATGGTTAAAAAAACCTTCATCACAAACGAAAATCTTGGGGGCAGGATGTACAACAAACGGAATCGACGGTCGTAATCCACCAGACGGCGCACCTCCACAAACGAAAGCTGACGCGACGCGAGCCGCTTTCCGAATGGAAATGTTCGATTTTCAAAGTGGTTTGAAGCGTGGGCAGATGCTTCCACAAGATGAGAGAGGTTTTGAAAAGTTGATCCAGGTGTAATCCTTCAGGTACAGATGATTGCAACGTCTGAGGGCGGACTCCACATCTCGTGTCAAACTCGAGATCAGGAATATGGCCAGCGGGAAAAACTGCACACATGGGGCAAATCTGATGATCGGCGTCAGGACCTCCCATGTATGGATCACCTAATGCTGGCTAACCTCGTGCCTGAACGTGACATGTGAATCCTCCCTGACCCATTGTGGTTTCTCTGGAGAGACCCATTTCCTCACCACCGCCGAAACCGTCATCCTGACGGAATGTGACTCGAACCATGATCGGTTCTGTATGTAGGCGGCTGTGTATGTAGGCTGTTGTTCATGCATCGCGGTTCGGTGGGCTGGTGTGACTCAATGCCAAATGATGTGAAATTCTCTTGTAGTACAGTGGGCATATCCGTTAAAGCCCGATTATTAGGCTTGGTGCTACCTGGACAGTGGGGTTTGTTCTGTGTTGTGAGGGAGGGTTGGTTGGCGAGCTTCGCGAGGTTGGGAAAACGCAGGCGAAGCGGCGAGTTTCAGAAAATTGGGTGTGGCGATACTGGCCGACGGTTTTCGCGAAACTACTTCCAGCCCACCAACGTCAGGGGGTTTCATACCTAATAGATTTGGTCCTCAATTCAGGCAATTAGAACTCGGGCTTTAAACCCAAGATTGCAACATTTGATACAATAATCTTGGCCCCTGTTAGCTCAATATTGCAGCTTTTGCCTTGGAGGTATGTTAGCGTAGCTAGATGAGCCATAAAAAGGCTAGTGCTTAGAGCCTGGCATGGCACCATCACGGTCACTGTGAACGGTTGCATGCATGAGTAAAAACTAAGTCACAAATACCTCAGCCAAGTCAGCATTGCTCCTTCACCTTGTCACAACAAACTCCCTTACCTCACATCTCCCCCACAATACCAACCAATATCCACAACCCTTTCATCGCATTCCTTACCTCAACACCCCACCCCCCTCTCGCCGCTCAAGCCCCCAGACGCTCTCCTCCCTTACACAAACCACCAGCTCTTCACGAGCCGCCCGCCACCCTTCACAAGCCGCCACCCTTCACGACCCATCCACCCTTCACTAGCCATTGACCCTTCACGACACATCCTCCCTTCACGGCCCATCCTCCCTTCACGACCCATCCTCCCTTCATGATCCATCCTCCCTTCACGAGCAAGTCGTGAGAACGGACGTGGCCACATGCAGCAGCAGCTGCAGCTCCCGCACCACACTCTCACTCTGCGCACCCGCGGCCCCGTCCCCCTCGGCCTTTACCGCCGCCAGCGCGCGGTGCACGGCGTGGTAGAGCTGCTCGAGAATGGGGCGCATGTGCACGCCCAGCTGCGGGTGGCGCGGCTGCAGCGTCATGAGCGACTTGATGAGCCAGGGGAGCTTGGTGGCGGTGTCAGCCTGCAGGTCGACGCTCAGCTGCTGCACGAGGGAGAGGAGGACCCCCTGGCTGAGGGACGGCGACGCAGAGAACACCTTCTCAGGGGTGACCTGGTGCGGGGGGGGGGGGGGTTTGAGATGACGGATGGGAGACCGAAGGGAGAACATTTGAGGGATGAAGAGTGCCGCACAACATCCTTTACTTCCAGAGGCTCCAAAGCCATGAGCTCCTTGGTGAGCCACAGCAGCTTGGCGGCGGTGTCGGCCTGCAGGCCGACGCTCAGGTGCTACACCAGGGAGAGCAGCACACCCTGGCTGAGAGAGGGAGACGCAGAGAACACCGTCTCGTGGGTCATCTGGAGTGCAGGATGGGGCGGGAGGGGGGGGGGAGTGAGAGGGGGGATGCGGGGGAAAGGCGACGAAGGATGGGGAGGAGAGGAGAGCGGAGTTGAGGAATCCAAGTTGATGCCCAGGAAAGTTCCTGGCAAAAGAGCCACAAGAGGTACCTTGGAGGAACAGCAGTGACTAGCACCTTACACTCACAGCTATTGTACCTGCGAGCAACAGCAGTGGCAGTTACCGTACCTGGGAGTACCAGCAGTGGCAGGTGCCGTACCTGGGAGCACCAGCAATGGCAGTTACCGTACCTGGGAGCACCAGCAATGGCAGTTACCGTACCTGGGAGCACCAGCAATGGCAGTTACCGTACCTGGGAACAGAGCCAGGTGACGATGGCAATGTCAGAGAGCGAGAGCGCACGGGTGAAAGCAGCCTCGTAGCTGCCGTCAGCCAGCAGGCGAGAGATCTCCCGAGTGGGGTCAAGTGACGCCTCCAGCTGCTCCAAGGGCACCGCCTGGTGTGGCACGGGTATAAACGGGCAGCATCAGTGAGCAGTGGGGGGAAGGGGAGGGGTGGAAAGGCATGAATGAGAAGCAGCTTCGTGAGGGAGAGAGTTTCTGTCAGCCAGCAGGCGAGAGATTTTCCGCGTGGGGTCCAGTGACCCCTCCACCTGCTCCAAGGGCACGGCCAGGTTTCAGAAGGAAAGGGGGAGAATCAGAGCGGTGAAGGGGAAAGGGGGAAGAGGGAAGAGATTCAAAAGCAGGAAACGGAATGGGAAGCGTAGCTGCCGTCAGCCAGCAGGCGAGCGTTCTCCCTGGCAGGGTCCAACGAGGCTTCCAGCTGCTCCAATGGCACCGCCTGGTGTGGGTAAACGGGACGGAGAGGGCACCACTGCACCAGAGAGCGATGGGTGGAAGGGAAGATGTTTGAAAGCAGGAAAGGGAATGGGTAGCGTTGCTGTCTGTCTGTCACCTCCCTCTCTGGTGGGGTCCAGAGACACTTCCAGCTGCTCCAAGGGCACCGTCACCTGGTTTGACATCAGAAGAGGGGGGGAATTGGAGAGGGATGCGGGAAGGGGAGAGGTGGAAACGAAGGGAGGAGAAGAGGCAACGCAAGAGGGAGTGAGAGGCTGCCGGCCAACGCAAGGGAGAGGCGCAGACGGAAGGCCTTCCTCGTGAGTTACAAAGAGTCTGGCAGCTGTTTCCATGGCACTGGCTGGTGTGAAATGAGACAGGGAACCCACAGGGGAAGGTGGAAAGGCCGAAAGGTGGAAACCAATACATACATGTACGTGTATACATATATATGTGAACAGCTCCACATAATATATATATAAATATATATATACAGCCACTCACCTTTCCAGCCAGCCCGTTGCTCTGTGCAGCATCAGCAGCAGCTGCAGTGGTAGCGTCCTTCCCTCCAGCTGTCACTGCCAGCGCTCCTGCTGCAGCAGGGGCTGCAGTTGTGGGAGCAGCGGCGGCAGGAAGCGAGGCGAGGGCCTGAAGGCGCTGCTGCAGAGCAGATGCCACGGAGTCAAGCGATGACACGGACTCCTGGGTGGGGCGGGCAAGGGGTGGGATAGACGGAGGGGGGGAGGGGGGAGGGGGGAAAGTTAGGCTTGGTACTTGAGAATGCTCCGTTGCACGGAGGGCCTGAAGGTGCTACTGCAGGGCTAAGTGGGAAAATTCGCAGGGGTCCTCAAGCGTTTTGCGTAAATTCGTCAGCGTAAATCCGCGACCGCGAATTTACCTGAAATCCGCAAATTCGCTGGGGGGAAATTTCGGGGCAGCCCGGACACGGGGAAAACGAGGAAAAAAAATCGTGAATCGCGAAGACACGGCGAAGCCAACCGTGGCCTCGCCAATTCGCGATTCCAACTTTTGACCCCCCAAACAAGCTTCCAATCCAACCCCTCCCAAGCTTCCAACCGCATCAAACCCCCCCGCACCTAGAAAATCCAACCAATCCACCACGCAACTCACGCTACTCTACTAACAGAGTATTTGCTTGCGCAAACCTAATTCCGCCGCGTCCTAGCAAGTCGTCCATGTCCCACATCGAATCTAGCTTACCTCACGAGAATTCTAGCAGCAATGTTGACCCTCCCAGAAAATCGTTTTTCTGGCTGCCCGGTCATTTTTTTCTCCCCAGCCAAACGAATTTCTGAGCGAATTCAAAATTGGGCTCTGGTGTATGGGCGAATTTTCGCCAGCGTAAATTCGCTAGCGAATTTACGCGGAACGCGAATTTTCCCACTTAGCTGCAGGGCGGAGGGCACAGAGTCAAGCAATGTCACAGGCTCCTCCTGGACGATAGGAAAGAAACTGAATCTTGGATTGGCCCCCGGTGATGGCAGTGGGGTGGGGGGAGTAAAAAGAATATATTTTCAGAGTGGGCTGAACCTTGGGTGCCATAGACCGTGTTTTCGAGACGTGTGGGAGAGCGGAAGGCGGGCGGAAGCTAGTGGAGAGCAGGGGGGGGGGAGGGGAGAGGGAGACACTGCTCGCACATACCTTGATGGAGGCATTAGCAGCAGCAGCGATCGCCTGCATCTCCTGCTGCATCCGCGCCACCTGCTGCTGCTGCAGCGCTGCCAGCTGCTGCTGCATCTGGCCCTCCACCGCTGCCTCCACTGCAGTCTGCACTGCTGCCTGCACCGCGGCCTGCTGTGCTGCCTGCTGCGCTGCTAGCCCCGAGCGCAGGCTACGGTCCAGCTGCCCCATCATCTCCCGCACGGCTCGCTCCATGGCTGGGACTGCTGCCTCGGTGAACGCCCGCTGTAGAGCGTCGGACAGTGACGCCTGCAGAGACGACTGGAAGGGGCGATAGGGTCGGACGGGAACGGGAAGGACGGGTGTCCTATCAGTGCCCCATCATCTCGCGCACGCCTCGCTCCATGGCTGGGACTGCAGCCTCGGTGAACGCCCGCTGCAGGGCCTCGGATAGGGACGCCTGCAGGGACGACTGGAGAGGAGACGAGAGCAAGGGGAGGCGTGAAACAGTGGGGGGAGAGGGGGAGGGGAAGGGGGGGAAGGAGGAGGAGGGGGGTGAGGGGGGTTGTTGTTCTTCACAGCAACAAATCATCTCCCACACGGCTCGCTCCATGGCTGGGGCTGCTGCCTTGGCGAACGCCCGCTGCAGTGCCTCCGATAGCGACGCCTGCCGGGACGACTGGAGAGGAAGAGGAGGCCGGTGGAGTGGAGGACTGGTTGGCACTTGCATGGCACAGACGGTCAAGGGAAGGAGAGAGGAGGGTTCACTGGAGCAAGAGTTGAGCAGGGGTGGTTTGCAGGGTGGGTGGTTTGTGGGGTGGTTTATGCGGTAGTTTGTGGGGTGGTTTGCTGGTGGTTTGCAAGGTGGTTCACTGGAAGAACAAAAGAGAGCGAAGTGGAGAGATGGCGGGCCAAAAGAAGGGACAAGAACCAGAGAGCGGGGTTTGCGCGAAATCGGCAACAATCGCAAGGGAGGAGCAGGGAGAACGGGAGAGGGGGGGGGGGAGGGGAGGAATGAGTGCACATGTGTGCAAGTGTGTGTGAAAGAGAGAAAGGCAGGGAAAGAAAGAAGGGAGAGACACAAGAGGAATGTGAAGAAGACGTGGAAGGAGTTGAGGAAGGAGGAAAGGGCAGGGCAGGGGCTTACAGCGATGGCTGGTGGGATGAGTGTGGCGGTGTGCATGCGCACATCTTCCGTTAGACTCTGACCAAGCAGCTGCAGTGAATGCAATGCAAGGGCATGGACAGAGCGCAGAGACAGACGAGATACAGAAACAGGATGGAAACATGATGGAAATAGGATAGAAACAGGAGGGGGAAGGCCAGGGTCCGAGGGGTTACAGCAGGCCAAGGGAATGGGAATCAACCAGATGAGTGAGATTGTGATTGGTGGAAGGGCACAAGCTGGTATACGGCAAGAGCTCCCACAAGAAAAGAAAAGAAAAGAAAAGGAAAAAAGAGACAATTTTTTCATTTCCAATCTCATGCTGGCCCTGTTTACCATCCCCATGCCCATCGGTCTCCACCTCCCAGAATCCATCCCCATCCCCATCCCCATCCCCATCCCCATTCCCGAACCACCCCCTGGCCACTCCCCATTCCCACCTTGATTTGTGCCGAGACAGCGGAGTCCAGAGCAGGCAGCACGGCACTCCGCACAGCCCCCACCACCTCACGCGCCACCGCGCCTTCCACCGCCGGCACCACCTGCTGCGCGTTCCCCGCCACCACCGCTGCCACCACCTGTGCAACCACGTGCCCCTGCCCCGCCTTCTCCACCTTCTCCCTCTTGCCAGACTCTTTCACCATCTCCTCCTGCAGGCGTGCTTGGGTTGCGTCCGCGTGGGCCTTGGCGACGCGGTCCACGCGCTGCGAGAGGGCCGCTTCCAGGCGCTTGGTCTCCTTGAGGAGGGGCGCCGGCACGTGCTTTGACGCCTCCCGCTGCTGCTGCAGGAGCTGGTGGGGGGAGGGGGGATGAGGGGGTAATGGAGGGAGGGGAGGGAGAGAGGGGAGGCAGAGGGAAGGAGGTGGAGCAGAGGGAAGCAAAGTCAGACGAGGAAGGGGAAAAGAGTTTTCAAGAGCAGCTGGGGTTGCGTCGGCGTGGGCCTTGGTGACGCGGTCCACGCGCTGCGAGAGCGCGGCTTCCAGGCGCTTGGTCTCCTTGAGGAGAGGTGCCAGTGCGTGCTTTGACGCCTCCCGCTGCTGCTGCAGGAGCTGGTGGAAGGGAAGAAGGGAGGGAGAGGAGGGAGAGGAGGGAGAGGAGGGAGAGGAGGGAGAGGAGGGAGAGAGACGGACAGGATGCAGTGGCAGGGGGGGAAGATAGGGAATTAAAAGAAAACTGGGTTGATTTGGTGGATTGGAGCGAGAGGAGGGAAAGAGAAGTGAGAGATGAGCGTATGCCTGTGGGGACGCAGGGGGGAGGCACAGAGAACTGGGTACCAGGGGAGAACGAGAGATGAGGGGGAACCGGGGGAGTGTGAGAAGGATGGGGGAAAAGGAGAACGAGTTGCTTTGAAGAAGCAGAAAGCTTGTCAAGTCAACCTGTTGCCCTTTGCACAGACTTGCCTTGGCGGGGGGAGTCAGATTTTACCTTCGCATCGTGTGTTGCCCCTGCATTGCGACACCTACCGTTTGCACCGTCGAATGCAGTGCTGCCACGTCACTCTTGAGCGCCTGGATGGATGCTGACACAGCTGCCACGTCAGCAGACCCAGTTGCCCCTCCAGGAGCAGCAGTAGCAGCAGCAGGAGCAGGAGCAACCCCTGCTGCTGCAGCACCAGCAGAACCAACACCAGCCACATGCAGCACAGGAGCAGGTGCCACTGCTGCCGTTTCCGCTGCTGGTGTCGGTGTGCCTGCTGCTGTTGGCGCAGCAGCAGCGTTGGGAACAGAAGTGGTATCAGCCGCCCCAGCAACAGCTATTGCTGACCCGAGAGGATGTGTGTGCGTATCCTCTGCTGCACTTGTTGGACCACCAGCACCACCACCACCACCACCAGCAGCAGCAATAGCTGCTACGGGTGCTGCCGTCGCAGCAGCAGCAGTCTTGTGCTTGTTCTTGCGGCCCTTGTGGGAGCCATGTGGGTGAGCGTGTGCATGCATGATGCTGGATGCAGCAGGAGCAGCAGCAGTTGCGAGAGCACCTGCCTGCACTGCTGCTGCTGCTGCTGCTGCTGCTGGCGCTGCTACCACTGCTGCCCCTGCTACCGGTGCTGCTACTGGTACTGCTGGTGCTGCTGCTACAGGTGCAGCAGGAGCAGACACTTGAGTTGCTGCAGAGGGGGCAGTGACAGTAGGAGCCAGCGGAGTGGTTGCAGCAGCTTCAGGAGCACCTGAAGCAGCACCTGGAGCAGCACCTGGAGCAGCCGCAGGAGCCGGAGCCACAGCAGCACTAGCAGCAGAATCCGCCTTTGCTGGTGGTGGAGCTGCTGCTGATTCTGGTGCCAGGGCTGCTGCAAGTGGTGCAGGTGCTGGTGCTGGTGATTCTGACACTGCCGTTACAGGTACGGCAGGTTCCTTTGTTGCTGCTGTGCTTGGTGGTGCAGCCGCAGAAGCAGCAGCAGCAGCATCACGGTATGAAATGGGAGGCCTGGTGCTCTCACCAATCCCACCAACTCCCAAACCAATGCCAACTCCTTCCTGCTCTGCTGGTTTCTTCTCCTCCGTCCCAGCAGCTCCTGCCTGCGCCTGTTGCGCAGAGAGCAGCACACCGGGTGCCACAGCAACACCTTCTGCAGCAGCTTCAGAAACAGCAGCAGGGGCAGCGGCAGCAGTAGGACCACTCATCCCCATGACCATAGCCAGCAGTTCTTGAGGTGTCACCAGGTGCGGTCGCCCATCGCCTCCCCCCCCTGCCCCTCCTGCTGCTGCTGCTTCTTCTGCTGCTGCTGCCCCTGCCCCTGCCCCTGCCCCTTCACCTGTTGCCGTCTCTGCCTTCCCAACGCCACCAATACCCCCTGTCACCGCTCCACTCTCGACTGCCTTCTCTGCGGGTTTAGCAACGTCGGCTCCTGCTCCTGCAGCTGCTGCTTCTGCCCCCACTGCAACTGCTGCTGCTGGTGCTGCTCCAGCTGCTGGTTCTGTTGCTGATGCCACCGCTGGTGGTACTGGTGGTGGTTTCTCCTGCTCCTGTGCTGCAGGTGTCGCTCCAGCAGTTATGGACGGGGCTTCGTCCTCCGAGGAGGGGGGAAGGCACATGTCGACAGGTAGAGAGTACTGCTGTATAGCCTGCGTCTGCATGCAGAACAGCTGCACCAACTCCGGCTCCCCTGACCCCTCACTACCATCCCACTCACCTGCATGTCCACCATCACCCCTGTCTCCTCCTCCCCCCTCACCACCACCATCACCATCCGCACCCCCTCCCCCTCCTCCTGACTCCTCTCTCCCCCCATCCACCCCCTGCTTCCCCTCTCCCGGCCCTGCCCCCGCACCACCACCCCCCACACCTCCCCCTTCCCCCTGCGCAGCCTCCCCCACCGCTTCCCCCGGCCCTGCACCCCCAGCAGGAGCTGCCACGTAGGCGGTGAAGCTAAGAATTGGCATAGTGACAGAGAAATGGGCAATGGAGTGGAAACGGGAGAGCGAGGGGGAGGCGGGGTCGAAGCGAATGGAGACGGCGTAGATGGCCTTCTGGAGTGCGTCTGTGAGGAGAATCAGACCCAGGGATTGCACCACCTGCAGCTGACAGAATACCCCGCTGCTGCCGCTCACCCCCATGCTGCTGCTGCTGCTGCTGCTGCTGCCGTTGCTGCTGGGGCTGCTGCTGGTCTTGATGATGGGGCTGCTGGTAGGCGTGTTGCTGCTGCTGCTGCTGGTAGTGGGTTTGGCAGGAATGGGGTCTGCTAGCAGCTGCAGGGTGTGGATGCAGCGCCAGTTGTCCTGCTGCGAGCTGGAAGCAGAGGAAGGAGCGTCTGGTGGGAGAACAGAAGAGTTGGACGCCCATAGCTTGAGCTCGCTGTTGTTGGGGCCCTGATGGGTGGTGCGGGAGGGATGGGATGGGAGACGGTTGGGGATGGCGGAGGGAAAGAGTCGGAGGGCAAGAGGTGAATTTTGAGTCCACTCGGAAGGAACAAACGAGGTGGACGCCCATAGCTTGAGCGCGCTGTTGTTGGGGCCCTGGATGGGTGGTGTGTGGGGGGGGGAGGACAGCAGGTGGGGGATAGGGGAGGGGAAGAGTCGGAGGGCCAGAGGTGAATTTTGAGTCCACTCAGTGAAAAAACAGAAGAGTTGGACGCCCATAGCTTGAACGCGCTGTTGTTGGGGGCCCCTGATGGGTGGGGGGGGCAGAAGACAGCAGGTGGGGATAGGGAAGGGAAAGAGTCGGAGGGCAAGAGGTGTGAGATTGCGAACACACGTGTACAAGGGATTGCGTGTAAAGGAGATTGCGTGCACAGGGGATTGCGTGTAGCCAGGCTGAAACATACACATAAGCTCCCTGTAACATGAAATAAACCGTCCGTATCACATCCTGGGCACAACGTATTCCGCAGCACATACCCCAGTGAGCAGAGAACATACCCCAGTGAGCAGAGCACGTACCCCAGTGAGCAGAGCACGTACCCCAGTGAGCAGGAGGGCGTGGTTGGAGGGAGCAGAGGGCGGCAGCAGGAAGAGGGCGGAGAAGACTGGCCTTGCGGCGTGCGGGGTCATGACAGACACACACTGCGTGCTGCTCCACACTCGCACCTGGTGGGGGGACAGGAGGGGAGTGCATAGGAGGGTAGTGCGTAGGACGGGAGTGCATAGAGGAGAGTGAATGAGATGAGAGTGAATGAGAGGAGAGTGAGACAGTAGTAGAGTGAACAAAAAGAGAGTGGGAGAGAGGAGCGGAAAGAGAGGGGGAACAACAGGGAAGGAACGGGGCATGGAAACCCGGGGGGAGGGAGGGAGGACGAGCGGGGTGGTTAGGCAAGGCAAGACGAAACACACATCCGTGATGGATGATCCATCTGGCAACAGTGACGTCAGTCATGACTCATGACGCATGACTCATGACGCATGACTCATGACTCATGACTCATGACGCATGACACATGACTCATGACGCATGACTCATGACTCATGACTCATGACGCATGACTCATGACGCATGACTCATGACGCATGACTCATGACTCATGACTCATGACGCATGACTCATGACGCATGACGCATGACTCATGTCGCATGCCATCCCAGAGTTGCTGCACCGTTCTGCGGCAGTTCTGCCATGCCAGCCGTCCATGGACTTTTGAATCGACTCAAAAGCTCTGCCAGCCGTCCGTACCGTGCCGTCTTGGGACGGGGTGGGCAGCAGCGTGGATGCGCTGGGCTCGGGCAGCAACGACCACACAGGCGCCGAGTGACCCTTCAGCACTATCACCCCTTCCACAATTGCACGCGTCTCAGCTGACACCCCCGCTGCTGCTGCTGCTGCTGCTTCAACTCCCTGCATCCCTCCTACTGATGCTGCTGCTGCTGGTGCTGCTTCGTTGGTGAGGTCGATGACAAAGGGGTCGGAGAGAGAGGGCGGCTTGGTGGGGGCTGCTGCGGCTGCAGCAGCGATGGAGACGAGGAGGACGAAGCAGTCACACGCCACTATGAGGATGTCCTGGGGGAGGGGTGGTGGGGGTGGTATGGCGGGAGGGGGAGTCGGGGGAGGAGGGGGAGGAGGGGGAGGAGGGGGAGGAGGGGGAGGAGGGGGTGAAGAGCAAGAAAGAATTGAAGAGCAGAGGTGACTTGTGAGTCAACTCAAAAGTCAATGCGAAGAGCAAGAAAGAAGAGAAGAGCAGGGCAGTCAGGGAGGGGGGGAAGGAAGTGACAGAAGGTGAACAACAGCGGAACAACGATCAGGAGCGGGGGGGGGAGGGGAGGAGGGGAAGGACTTTTGAGTCGACTCAAAAGTCACCTAAGGAAGTGACAGAAGGTGAACAACAGGGGAAAAAACGATCAGACCGAGGGGGGGAGGGGGGGAGGGGAGGAGGGGAGGGGAGGAAGAGGGAAGGGTTTAGGAAGGTGGAAAGCGCGGGACGGAGTGAAGGGGCACACACACATGGGAGTGCGGCTCCTGCAGCGAAGCGATAGAGATGAGGAGAACAAAGCGGTCGGTCAGAGGCCAGGTACCAGTATGAGGATGACCTGGAGGGGGGTTAGTGGCCGGGGGTGCCAGGCTAGCTGTGCCGTCACGGCGCCCCATGCGCCCTCCAGCTGCAGCACGGCTAGCAGCCTCTCGCTGATGGCCGCCTTGCTGTCGCTGCCAGGACTGCCAGGACTGCCACCTACGGTGGTTTGGGTTTGGGCTAGCACTAAAAACAGCGGCTCGCCCAAACCACCGTTAACACCCCTCTTCCTATCCCTCCCTTCCCTTTCCCAGCCCCACTCGCTCCACCCCTCTCTCCCCTTCCCCATCCCATCCCCTCCCCTCCCCTCCATCATCTTTACCCTACTCCCACTGATACTACTACCTCCTCCCCCACCCGTACCTTCTGTCGGGGGTGCCAGGCTAGCTGTGGCGTCACGGCGCCCCATGGGCCCTTGAGCTGCAGCACGGCCAGTAGCCTCTCGCTGATGGCCGCCTTGCCGTCACTGCCAGGCCCCTCCTCCACCCGCCGCACCACCACCAGGCCGTCTGCGCTCGCACTGATGGGGGATGGGAGGGAAGGGGGGGAGAGGGGAAAGTAACACAAGGACGGAGTGGAGGGCAGAAAAGGAGGACGGGAGATGATTTGCGGGAACGGGCAGTTACTACCCGTCGCTGTGAGGGCCCTCCTCCACCCGTCGCACCACCACCAGCCCGTCCGCACTTGCACTGATGATGACAAAGAGGGAAGAGAACGAGGAGGAACGGGTTTCACTATGCTGTCAGGCCTCTCCCTCCTGCACCAGCCGCATGCAGGAGAGAGGGAAGACAAGGAGAGGAGAGGGGAGAGGAGCGGAGAGGAGAGAAGAGGGGAGAGAAGGAGATACGAGGGAGGAGAACAGGTTTTACATTGCTATCAAGCCCCTCCTCCACCCACAACACCTGGCCGTCCGCACTCGCACGATGGTGGGAGGGAGAGGGGAGTAATAGGGCAGGAGCAATGAGAGGGGAGGAGAGGAAAGAGGAGGAGACGAGAGGGGAGGAGCGAGGACAGGAGAGTAGGGGAGGACATGGGAGGATAGGGGAGGGAGAGAGAGGAGAGGAAAGCAGAGGGTAGGAAAATGAATGGATGGAAATATTTCTCTGTAGTGTCTAACACACACCTTACTTATTCTACACATATGGTCCGGGAGAGAAGCAGGGGATCATAGGATGGGAAGCGATGTGGTGGAGAGGGGAGAAGAGCAAGTGGAATATGCGGAGTGGAAGGAACAGACAGAACGGAGCGGGGGTCAGGGGGGGGAAGAAGGGGGTGGGGGGAATACAGAATGGCATGGCATGTCAACGAAGGTTCAACCCGTGATACCCCATGCTAACCCCTGCTACCCACCTCCGCCAATCCACCCTTTCCCCCCTCCTCCCTCCCTCATCTCCCTCTCCCTCCCACTACTCTCCTCTCCCCTTCTCCCCTCCATTCCCTTCCCGCCTCCCCGCCTCCCCCCCTCATGCGCGCTCTCCCCGTCCCTTCAACCTCAACTCGTGCCCCGCTCGCATTTCCTTCCCTCCAACCGCGTCACAACCCCGCGCAGAGTTTCTCGTGACCTGCTACTAGTCAGCTGCTCCTAGCCTCCTAGTCGTGACTCACCTGGCCATGAGCTGCTCATCCTCCGCGAAAAACACCATATCCGTGATGCGCTGCGGGCACGGAGAGAAGAGAGATTTGGGGGGGGGGGGGGAGGGGGAGGGGGGGGTGGGGGGGGAAGAAGAGGAGGGGGGGGAACGGGGGAGGGGGGAGGGAGGGAGGAAGGAGGATGAGGGAGAAGGAGACAGAGAAAGGAGGAGGAACGCAGGGAAGGAGCGACGGAATGGGGAAGGGAAGGGGATGGGGGGAGCCAACAGAAGAAAGCGAGAATACCGCAATCAGGCGACAAGAGATGAGGGAAGGGAAATAGCAGCAAGGACCCTTCCCCTGTTTGCCTCTTACCCTTCCCCTTTCCCTTCCACTTCCCGTCCACCTGCCCCCCCCCACTTCCTTTCTCCCGCTCCCCCTCCCCTGTCCACATCCCCTACAACCCGCTCTCTCCCAACCTACCTTCTTGTGTCCCTTGAACAGCGCACGCAGGGCCGTATTGATATTCAGCACGCGGATGCTCGCGTTCCTCAGCGCGTAGCTGATATACCGCCTGTTCACAGCGATCTGTCTCCCTGGCGCCAGCACCTCTTCCGACCCATACACCGTTATCGGCGACACCTCAAGCTGCGGCGGACCTGCTTCTAACGGATCCCTCTTGTCCACCCTGTAGGAAACCACCTCCGCGTTTCCCGCGAGGACCTTCCCCACTCCGCGCTTCGATCTGTGGAGCTGGAGCGGAAGGGCGCTGCGGGGCGGCTCAGGGTGCTCCGCCGCTGCGGGGAGGGGCGGAGCGGAAGGGGGAGTGGCGGGAGCAAGCGCGGAAGCAGGAGGGTGGGCAGCCGGGGGGGTGGCGGAAGGGAGAGGGGGGGCGGACGGGGCAGAGGGCTCCCGGGGAGGAGTTTGAGGGGCGGTCGCGCCTGCTGCGCTGAAAAGCGCGCCGAGCACAGGGGGGAGGGAGGATGGGGGTGGCGCGGAGGGGGCAGAGGGGAGAGGGGGAGTTCCAGCGGTTTCGGGCGGAGGAGCAGGGGCACTGGGGGCAGGAGCGGGCGCCTCTGTGGGGGCGGGGGCATTCTCCGCAGCCGCTGGCGCGGCGGAGGAACCGGGAGGGGGAGGCGCAGGGGCCTGCGCGGGCGGTGGCGGAGGCTGCGCACCCGGAGGCGGGGGAGATGCGCCCGCGGTGAGCAAGGACATGAGATGCGCGCCGTGGAATGCGGGCGCGGGAGCGGCGCTCGGGGGCAAGGGGGCGGGCGCAACCGGCGGAGCAGGCGGGGGCATGTGCATGGGCGGGGACGAGGGGGGATACTGGTACTGCGGCGCATGCATGTGCATCATGTGCGGGGGAACCCCGGACGGACCAGGCCCCATATGCATCATGGGTTGGCCCTGCGGATTCAGCATCGCGGGAAGCGGAGGCGGCGGAGGGGAAGGGCCCGATGTGGGACCATGCATGCCTTGTAACGGGTATGGCATGAGCGCGCCGGGGTGCATGGGATGTGGCAGGGAGTGCGGATGGACATGGGCTGGGGGGGGATGGCCCATCCACTGCGCGTATCCAGGGGGAGGAGGGGAGGAGGGTACGCCAGGAGGGGGAGGCATGGGGGGAGGGGGACTGGGAGTGTGACCGCCTTGGTTGGGGGCAGCGGCTGCTTGTTGGAGCAGCGTCAGGATCGGATTCGACGGGTGCTGCTGCGACTCCTGCTGCAGCTGGTGCGGCGGAAGCTGCTGCTGCTGTTGCGGATACTGCTGATGATGCTTCTGCGGCTGATACTGCTGTTGCTGCTGATACTGCTGCTGCTGCTGCTGCTGCTGCTGCTGCTGCTGCTGTTGCTGCTGCTGCTCCAGATGCTGCTGCTGCTGATACTGCTGTTGCTGCTGATACTGCTGCTGCGGCGGCGGCAGCGGCTGCAGTTGCTGCTGCGGCTGCTGCTGCTGCTGCTGCTGCTGCTGATGTGGCAGCGGCGGCTGTGCCATCGCCCCATCCTGCTGCGAGGGCTGCGAGGGCTGAGAGGGTTGCTCGTGCCCCTGGTGCACTAGTGCCTGTGCCTGTGCACCTGCGCTCTGGTCTTGCTGGCGCTCGTCCTGCTGCTGCTGCTGCGCTTTTACAGAAGCCGACTGAAACAACTGCTGAAGGTTGAACATGGCGGCCAATCAGGAGCCACTCTCCTGAAAGCACGTAAGGGCATGGCACAACACGGAATGGCAAGGCACGTCACGGCACGACGCGAGACGGCACTACACGACACGACACGACACGACACGACACGACACGACACGACACGACACGACACGACACGGCAGGCACGATACGACGAGGCACGGCATGACACGACCAGAACGATGGCGGGAAGAGAGCACGCAGAGAATTACAAAAAAATGCGGCAGAAGGAACCTTCGAATGTCGAGTTCTCAATCCATCCACTAGCCCGTCTATTAGAATTAATCTCTCAAAAAAAAAAACCGCAAACTTCAAGTCCTCCATGTTGATCTAGACTGAGTCCAGACACCATAAAATGAATTCCCCTGCACGTTTCCTAAATGCTCTCGTACAAGCGGTCTAGAATCGAATACCATGATTGGTCAGAGCGACGGACCGACCGATCAGCATGGAATACTAGAGAGCTAAAATCACTAGTAATGAACGGACAGATTGCCTATTCCTACAACAGGAAAAATAAAATAAAATACAGGACGCATCATACCTCTCTCGTTTAATAAAAAAAATACGAGGAGGAGACGGATCCCTCGCAGGCTTCAGCCGCACTAACACACGACACCGAAAGGTTAGTCACTTAGCCAGACTAAAACCAGATTGATGCGACCAGATTCGCGACGAAACTGGCGGAAAATCTGGCAGAAGTAAGGTGGAAGGAGTGATTTGTGGGTCGAGGGAATTGCATTTGTGGCTTCACCTCTGGGAGGAAAGGCTGTGTGTGTGGGGTGGCAACGAGAGAAGATTGATGACTCATGAAGGCGAGGTTCGGGAACGCCGAGAAAGTGGTTACGTGGCGTTGCGAGATGTCACGAATGTTCGCTTTTCATGAGTAACTGACACCCGGACACGAAGCTTTATGCAGGTAGGTATCGTTACGCGATTATTCAGTCAATCACACATCCAATCCAACATGATGGGGGCACCATAGAACCTGGTCAAAACAAGCAATCAATGAAAGCATTGCAGTCAGTCAGCTAATTGTCACAGGGAGGAACTCAAAAAGGAGCACGCCTGCTGCTCAATGGCCTACAAACCTGTCCCATTATCTGCAGTGACATTACATACGCCTCTGAATACCTTGCCCACCTCCGTGGAGCACCCAGTGCCTCTTTTTGTCCAAGCCCGAGCTCGTCACAAGAATTTTTCAACACCACAGAAACTGGCCTGGCCACTGTAATCTTTCCGTAGATTGACTGTATCAAACCCACCAGCTGTCCCAACCTAAAGCTCCTGCAGCCAATAGCCTTTCTCTCTGTCCAGTGTGCGTGCACTTGTCCAAATCAGCAGCTTCCCTGAAAGTGGCACCTCCTTCCCTCCCTCCCCTCCTCCCTCACTCCCTCCCTCCTCCCCTCTCACCACATGGCAGTTGCACCTCTGCTTCCTCCCCTTCCTCCAGGGCTGCTCACTCAAGGCCCGCCCCAGGCCCCCAGCTGGCTACCTTGACTATTCGCACTTGATGGCCCGGTAGATGTGCCGCACGAAGAGCAGCGCAGCGCGGAAGCCGACGGCGCCGAGCATGAGGAAGAAGCCGTAGCACACGCAGGCCATGTAGCCAAAGAAGAAGGACGTCTGCATGAAGCCCGTCATGTCGGAGCGCGCAAAGTAGTAGTAGAAGCAGTACGCATAGATGAAGAAGGCCGTCGAGCCCCCACACAGCACAGATCTGCCAGGGTGGGTGTCCAACACGTGGATGGGTGAGTGAGAGAATGGAAACCAGCCCGACAAAGGTGAACAGTTAAGATGCTGGGTCAAGAAGGGCAGGGAAGTTTTGGAACTCAAGAAGGAGACGAGTGGCAAAGTGAGGGAGAGCAGTCGGGAGAAGGGTGTACGAGGGAGCAAAAGACGGGGGAATGGAACAGCAGGGAGAAAACGGATGAGTTACCTCCACCACCACTCATGGTCTTCAATGGCCAGCTGGAAGTAGGTGAGAGCGATGGTGATGAAGGCAGTCACGATGATGAGAATGAGGAAGACAATAAAGAGGATGCTGTGGATGGTGTAGATCTTGTGGCCCCAGAGCGTGGCAAAGATGTAGTAGAGCTCGATGTAGATGGCGCTGAAGGGCAGGAAGCCAGCCATGCACATCTGCACTCCGCCAGGGGATCAAATGGTGGGGCACAAGGATAAAAAAAGGAAGACACGAATGAGAAACCAAGAGAAAAGGTGGAGACAGGGAGACATGCACGGTGGACTGTGTGAAACGCAGTGTGGCTTAAGAAAGGAATGCAAAGAGAGAGAGAAGTGGGAAAGGGTGTGGGGGGGGAGAAGGGAGGACGGGAGAGAGAAACATCAGTGCAGGGAGAGGAGGGGTGGGGGCGGGAGGGACAAGTAAAACAGGGGTGGGGTCCAGCAACCGGGTGGCAATACCATGACCAGGGTGGGGTCTCAAGCACAAAGCATTGTCACTTCGTCCAAAATTGCTGCCATATTATCCATTTTCCTAATATATCCCCCCCCCCTCCTCCCACCCCTCTTCCCACCACTTCCTCCCCCCCATTCCGCTTCAAAGACCCAGTCTACACCCCTCCCGCTCCTCCCACGTCCTTGTCTTAAATGTCTAAAAAAGCCTTAGAAACCCCGAGTTAGTGAATCATTTTTTACCCCCTTGCACCACCAGTTCCTGGCTTGAGCCTCTTCCCACCGCCCCACCTCTGTCCCCGGCTCATTGTGACAGACTGACCTGAGGCACAGCCGTCCTGTACCAGGGCAGCGGTGGGATCTCGCGAGGGTACTTGCTGGTCCGGCACGGCGCCTCAAACTCGCCCGCATTCTTCTTGCCCCAGATGGCACCCAGCACCTGCGAGAGCGAGGCAGGGGGGGGGGGGGGGGGGGACGGTGTGGGAGTGAGAGACAGAAGGAGGGAAGGGGAGAGGCGGGTCGGGAACAGGTGGGGGGGCGGAAATGCAACGAGAATGAGATACAGAGAAATAGATTGGGGGAATGGGGGTTTTAAGAGAGAAGGGTGGCGAGTGAAGCAAGTACTGCACTAGATTGACAATACCAGAAGAGGGGGAGGGGAGAGGGGAGGGGGGAAGACGGGACGAAGACTGACACCGTAAATATAAAAGTTCGCAAAGAAAGAGAGCGCACCGTGAGGGGGAATGTGACGAGCGTCCAGATGACGATGATGATGACGATGGTGCCGAACGGCAGCGCCTGGGAGGAGCCATAGGCGATGGCGACCGAGTTGTTGAAGGAGAAGACAAGCAGGAATGGGCCGCAGTAGAGCAGCGCTGTCAGCACCACGTTGCGCACCTGGACCCAGCGCAACGGGCGAGCGAGAGGCAAGTGATGGCAGCAAGCAAGGACGGCAAGTGAGGGGCGAGAAGAGCACAACGAAGAGGCAGAGAGACGGGGGGGATGGAGTACCAAGCAGGCAGCGACAGGCAGAAACAGGAAGAAACAGGAAGAAACAGGAAGAAACAGGAAGAAACAGGAAGAAACAGGAAGAAACAGGAGAAGATGGACCCTACTGTCAAGTCGCAGCACTGAGCACCCACCCAGTTCTCTCCGCCCATCTGGCGGTAGAAAGACGAGGACACGTAGCCTGCGATGCCTGCAGTGAGCGCATACAGGACAATGCACGCCTGGTAGGGAGCGCCGCGGTTGTACGGGTAGAAGACTCCGATGAGCGCCAGCGCGAAGACAAAGAGCACGAGCACCAGCAGCTGCGAGCCCACGCCAACGAGGGCGCAGAAGACACTGTGGCAGGTCAGGGTGGAAAGCGAGGGAGGAGAGAAGCGTGTGAGCAGAGAGGAAGAAGAGCAGGTGAGGAAGGTGGGATTGATCAGGGGGGGAGAACTGTGGACGCAACAGAAGCAACAGAGACGATTCTGCGTGTGAGAACTTACGAGGTAAGCAACCGCGGTTCAAATGAGAAATGCAACAGCAGCAGGGCAATACGCGGAAACAAAAAGAGGAAAGCACTCATTCGCAGGACGAAGCGATGAGACTTACGAGGGGAAAGGGGGGAAGCGGAATACGTCCCCGTGGATGTACTTCCAACCAGTCTCCTCCTGCTCCTCTGCGGCCTCGTCATCACGCGTGTACCTTCACAGGCACATGTGGGGAAACAGCAAAACGAGTGCACGGATCAGTACGCATGACCCAGGGGGGGAGTCGACAAGTGTACGATCAGATTCGCAAGCCCAGAAATCGAATGTCCGTGCATCAAATCCACCAGTCTTCTTTCATCCCATATTTGGACAAGTAACCTTTGTCGCTCGATCACTAACCCCTCCCGCCCTCGGCGCGTCGAACCTCCCATACTCCCTTTCTGCCACAACCCCCCCCCCCCCCCTCCTACTTCCCCCACCCCCCTGGCGCCCACCCGTGTCCCTAATCTCTTAGCGCACTCACTTGATGAAGTCGTTCTTGAGCACGCGCATGAGGATGGTGGCGAGGAAGCCGGTGAGCAGCAACACGGTGACGCACGAGTTGATGATGGAGAACCAGTGGATCTCCAGGTGCTGCGGCATGAACGAGTACCGCGAGTACTTCTCCATGCGCTTCTCGAACGGCGTGTTCGTCTCCTCCCACCGCACGCTGAAGCTGAACTCCACCTTCACCTCCGCGTCCGCCGTGATATCCACCGTCTGCGACGGATCCGTCCTCACGCTGATCGCGATGATCCTATCCCCGTTATAGGACACCACGAAGTGCACGTGCGTGAAGAGAAGGTAGCGAATGTCCTGGCCGTGAGAGTCGACGCCGCCGTCGCCGCCGGTGGCGGAATCCGTCTTTCCAATGAATCCCCACACAGGCAGATCGTCGTAGAACATCTGCGCGGAGAGGGGTCATGCGGGAAGTACGCGCAATCAGTGACGTGCGCAAGGTTAGATCCATGCTTGAAGAAGCGCCGGTAATAGGATGAGCTAAAAGAGTCGCGACAATGCAAGATCGAGAAACTGAACAACTTGAAAGCACGCATCTGCAAAGGCAAACTGGTTGGGCGCTGAAGCCAAAAAAAATGACGAACGATTGTGTTTTGAATCAGCATGTAGAGCTCTCGCGGTCAAGAGCAAAGTGCATAGAAGATTGATTCATACGCATTTTACCAGGGCGCTTGAGGAGTCGCTATTACGTGACAGCTCATGACGCCAAATCTACATCGGCATCATGAGTCATGACCGCACGAAACAGATCCAAGCGTTGAAATGCCTACCCTTGCAATCCTTACAGTCTTCCCGCCGGAAAAAAACCCGCTAAAGTCTTACCTGGAAATAGTAATCGTCCTTGACTGCCTGACGGAACTTCTGAACCTCCTCCACAGCCAGCGTCTTGGTGCAAAGGGACTCGCTCTCCTTGTTGACGCGGAAGCTCAAGTCATAGAGTGTCGTCACCAGGCGGTCTCCCTCAATGACCTCGCCAAGGTCCTCCAGCTTGTAGCTCTCCGCCTTGCGGCAAAACGGCAGATCGTAGTACTGGTAGGTCTCGCTGCGGATTCGCGTCGCAAAGGAAGGACAGGAGATACAGGAACAAAATCACAAGACATGCTTTCATTTTAATGACGGTCAGTCGCGAGAACCTAAGAACGAGCACAAATGGAGGTCTAGACAATTACTATGACGAAATTCCTGGAGTCGTGGTCAGTTGACCAAAACGACCAAAACGGCCAAAACGGTATCACGCGCAATCCATCTAGCATGCCACAGCAAGCCGGTCAGACTAGAAGATATCGGGCGAGCGAGCAAGATCTTCACCGATAGCCAACGACTCGACCTCTAAACGAACGAAAGGACAACTACCAGGAATACTTTACAAATGCCGGGAACGAAATTAGGTATAACAAATCATCCAGCAATCTCTCACTTCGCCAGGAACGAGCATAGAATCGTTTTAGGTACCTAGGGTTGTGGTACGGGCCGACTTTGTTCGCGTAAAGTGGAACAGAGTCATGCTCTTTGTAGGTATGATCCCGCGCGCTTAGAAGCTGCCGGTGCCCCCCTTGTACCACCGCATGAGCAGAAGCTGCTATGACGAAGGCAGCTAACAGCAGCACATGTAGCGGCATCTTGAAGGATATCATCTTGGACCGCTGTGCGGAACCTAGACAGATATACTTTGTGGATCCACAGCCGTGGATCCCGGCCTCTACTCAAGTCGAGAAGGAGGTAAGAAATGCGAACAGACGCACGACCTATCACCTGGCCCGCGGAGAAACCTCCAACTAGCTTAGTAGGGCTTGCTACAAGCTAGTGGTGGGTGGCTGGATCCTACTCAAGAGTGGGTGGGTGGTGTTTCGTAGCACCAACAGATCATGAAGATTTGGCGGGTGACTGAAGCGCGGGAATGTCGAGGCGAGGGGAGTAAGTGGGCGGAGCGGAGCCTGAACAGGCTTGCTGGGGAAAGACTGCCACCAAGCCCCAGTTCCCTCCCTCCTTGCTCACACTCAGCTGCTGCTGCCACTGTTTGCTTCTGCACGCGTTGCACCAAGGTGCTTTGCGTTCAAAAACGTTTTGTTAAGAAATTTGAACGATTCAGTAGGGTTTGGATTTGACACACCCTTGTCGACGGGGGAAGGGGTGTGAGGGCTGTGGATCAGCGTCAGCAGCTCCAGCCAGACCAGACTCAGGTTCGGAAGGAAGAGAGGGGTCGGTTTATGGTCGAAGCAGATGCTGGTTCGGCGACAATGTATGGGCAGGAAAATACTGCTGGGTGCCTGGTGTTGAGATACTGCACTGTATACGATATTTCCTCGTGACATTTTTGTTCCAAATCACAGATTCCCTGTCAAATTGGGACTTCCAAGGTTTGGGTCAAATGGCAACCTCGAGAGCACCCGCCTGTCAAATGCACTCGGCATTGGCAGCATCTGCCTGTAAATAAGGGCGTGGTAACATACAGTTCCGGAACCGGCTACTGTCCGGACAAAGGAGTGGTGATAAGTCGGAACTGTATGTACCACGCCCTAATGTATGCTATTCAGCCCGTATATGGACGAGCAGGTGGGCTAGGTTTCCTTTTGCAAACATTCTCGAGGGTTTTGATAGTCCAAAGAGGTCCTACACAATATTTTGAAAGCTTTCGGACGGCTGTGCTGGATGAGCTTGGATCGAACAAGGAGCCATGGCGAAATCTAAAAGCGCCTTCAAGAAGGAGCATCCTCTTGGTAGCGTTTGCACATCGTTTCGCACTCTCGCTTATCATCTTCGGACCTAAGCTTTCTGAGGTTGCAGTGTGAGCCTGTAGATCGTCACTTCATATCTCTTAATTCCGTGTTGTTGGGTGCATGCCGAACGGTTTGCAGAGAAGAGGAAGGCAGAAGCTGCAAGAATTCGCGAGAAGTATCCTGACAGGATTCCCGTAAGTTTCTGCAGGATGCTGGCTCCAGTTCAAGTTGTTGGACAGTAATTTCATTTCCTGTTCTTACATCTCCAGGTCATTGTGGAGAAGGCCCCACGCGGCGACATACCAGAAATAGACAAGAAAAAGTAAGCTCGGTTCTATTTCTGTGGTTTTCATGCGCGGCTGATGTATGGTCGTTAAGTTTAGTCCGTTTTCGCCTTCCAGGTACCTCGTCCCAGCAGAGCTTCCTGTAGGCCAGTTCGTCTTTATAATTCGCAAGAGGATAAAGCTTCATCCGGAGAAGGCAATATTTGTTTTCGTAAATTCTGTGCTACCACCCACAGGTAAGTGGCTTTGACAGAATGAGCACACTGCTGTTGGCATGCCACGTTGTATAATGTTTCTCGAACTATGCTTGCAGCCTCACTGATGTCAGCTATCTACGAAGAGCACAAAGACCCTGATGGATTTCTGTATATGACATATAGTGGAGAGACTACCTTTGGGCGAGGTGGATGATGTGGTCGGCGCAGTACTTCTTATCTTATGTAGTATATTGTACAGTTGTTCCTTTTGATAGAATACTAGAATGATTAGAAACGAGAGAAAACAAGGGAGATCTAGGGTTTGGGTTGTACTTTAAGAACACACCTGTCCTAGCCTAAAACTTTGAGAGGCAGGGATCCGAAGACTAGTCAGCAAGAGTACAAACAAGACAGGAGCAAACCAGGGTGGCACTACAACTTCGACCACAGGAGGAGAAGCCACAAGTGTTATAAGGTTAGCTTAGCTAGGAAGCTAGGTGTTGTGATATAATTGATACTTAGCATTTCTGTAAGTCGATTATGTGTCGTTAGTGTCGAATCACACTGTAGAAGATAAGTCCGTAGGATGACGTCAGCAAATAGCGCTCGTCATAGGACAGTCGTTTCAGTCACGCGAACAGTCGCACCCCTTCATTATCATCTAGGGCGCATAGCGCGATAGTGACGAACAGGTACATTAGCGAATACCGTATTAGCCCGGATAGAAGACTACTGGGTCTTATCACATACCGTTTGGAAATAGTCAAAAGGGTCTTATAAACGGGAAAAAAAAAAAGTGGAAGTGGGTCTTATAAATGGAACCATCGTAACTTCACAGGAAAACACCCGGAATAGTTACACCAGACTTCTGGCAAGCGTTTTCATAGAGAAGGCGTCACAAAGGGGGCGACTTCTTTGGCGGCAACAATGACAGCAGGCACGAGTAAAGCAACAAGGGAGGAACGAGGGTGTGGGTTGATTTCAGTACCATGGAGACATTTGAGGAACACTTGTCAGAAACACTTGTGACGAGCTAGAAAAACCAGTCACAAGTCGCGTCAGAAACACATGTTTCCAGCCTAGTGTCAAACATGTTTAGTTATCATGCTTGTATAGACTGTATAGGGTTATCTTCTAGAGAGTACAACATTTAGGTATATGTTTGTGTACTCTCTCTCTCTCTAATCATCAATTTCACTGTTTGATATGGTATCACGCGTAGGTAGGATCCCCCCCCCCCCCCCCCCCCCTCACGCTTCCGCTCGCCCCCTAGCTGGGCCCCGTCGTGCTCCTAGCCCCGTCGCGACCCTCCCTAGCCCCGTCGCGACCCTCCCTAGCCCCGTCGCGCCCCTTCCTGGGCCCCGTTGCGCCCCTTTCTGGGCCCCGTCGCGCTCCTCCCAGGCCTCGTAGCGCCCCTCCTGGGCCCCATTGCGCTCCTCCCAGGCCCCGTCGCGCCCCTTCCAGGGCTTCGTAGCGCCCCTCCAGGCCCCGTCGCGCCCCTTTCAGGGCTTCGTAGCGCCCCTCCAGGCCCCGTCGCGCCCCTTCCAGGGCCTGGTAGCGCCCCTCCAGGGCCCCGTCGCGCTCCTCCCAGGCCCCGTAGCGCCCCTCCTGGGCCCCATTGCGCTCCTCCCAGGCCCCGTCGCGCCCCTCCCTAGCCCAGTCGCGCTCCTCCCAGGCCCCGTAGCGCCCCCCCTGGGCCCCATTGCGCTCCCCCCCAGGCCCCGTCGCGCCCCTACCTGGGCTTGGTAACGCCCCTCCAGGCCCCGTCGCGCCCCTACCCATCCTCGTCGCCCCTGCTCGGCCCCGTCGCCCCTGCTCGGCCCCGTCGCCCCTGCTCGGCCCCGTCGCCCCTGCTCGGCCCCGTCGCCCCTGCTCGGCCCCGTCGCGGCCTATCGGCCGCGTGGCGCCCGCCCGGCCCCTGTCGCGGCTGCCCGGCCCCTGTCGCACCTGCCCGGCCCCTGCTCGCCCGCCCGGCCCCGTCGCCCCTGCCCGGCCCTGCTGTGGCCTGCCCGGGCCCCGTCCCTGCCGCCCGGCCCCGTCGCCGCCGCCCGGCCCCGTCGCAGCCGCCCGGCCCTGTCGCAGCCGCCCGGCCACGTCGCAGCCGCCCGGCCACGTCGCAGCCGCCCGGCCACGTCGCAGCCGCCCGGCCCCGTCGCCCCTGCCCGGCCCTGCTGTGTCCGGCCCGGCCTCGTCCCTGCCGCCCGGCCCCGTCGCAGCCGCCCGGCCCCGTCGCAGCCGCCCGGCCACGTCGCAGCCGCCCGGCCTTGTCGCTGCCGCCCGGCCCCGTCGCCGCCGCCCGGCCCCGTCGCAGCCGCCCGGCCCCGTCGCCGCCGCCCGGCCTTGTCGTGCCTGCCCGGCCCCGACGCACCTGCCCCGGCCCTCCATACTTCCTGGTACTGTCCCCCGTTCCCCGCACCACTTTGCACCCTCCTGCACTTTCCTGCCCCGCCTTGCATCGCATTGCACCTCACTGGATCGCACTGACCGCACTGCACCGCACTGGACCGCACTGCTCCGCACTGCATCGCACTGCACCGCACTGGACCGCACTGCACCGCACTGCATCGCACTGCACCGCACTGCACTGTCCTCCACTGCCCCTCATGGCTGCTGAGCTTCGTTTTGATGTTGAGGGTCAGCCTCTGGAGTTCGAGGCGTGGTTGGCTGACCTTCGCCGCCACCTCACTGGTCAGCGGCAGGACGGCCACCCGCTTTCTGCACACCTAGACGGTATGCTCCCCTGCCCTGACCCCCCTGCTGTGCTGCCCGCTGATCCCACGCCCGCTGAGCGCGAGTCCACTGCCGCTGCTGCCCTTGCCCGCTCTGTCTGGCTTTCCCGCGATGCCCTTGCTCAGCTCGCCATTAGCAATGCCCTCCCCCCCACTGAGCGCCCTCGCTTTAGAACCATTCCTACCGCCCAGGCCTACCTCGATGCTGTCATCAAGCGCTATTCTACCCCTCCTGCTGCCTCAGTGGGTCGCCTGATCCTTCCCCTGCTCTTTCCTGACCTGGCGTCTTTCCCCACTGTCTCTGACCTCGCTGCCCACCTGCGCTCGATAGATGAGGCCTGGCGCGCTGCCTGCACTGATGCTCAGCTTAGAGTCCACCAGCCTCCCATGACCTCTACCCTCTACCTCCTTGCCACCCGCCTACCTGACCGCCTTGCCGCCGCCCGCGACCAGTTCCTTAGCATCCACCCTGCTGCTCTCACCCTCACCGACTTTGTTGACACCCTGACTGCCATAGAGACTCGTCACCGCTCCATAGCCCTGGCGAGCGGTACAGTACCGGTCCCTATCTTTCAGGGTTGTGCCCCCGCTCAGTGTACCTTCTCCGACGGCTCTGTCGCTGTGGCTGAGACTGCTGCTGCAGTGCAGTCCCGCTCGGCGAAGGGCCGCCGCCCCAAGGTTGGGAGCGGCGGAGGCGGCGGGGGTGCGGGTGGGGGTAGTGGTGGAGGCGGGTCGTCCGGTGCCAGTGCGGACGTGGGGACCCTGCCCGGTCCAGCTGCCTCGCTGCCTCCACAGTTGCAGCAGCCGCAGCAGCAGCAGTCGCCGCAGCCGCAGCCTTCGCAGCAGCCGCAGCAGCCGCCGCAGACGAGGCAGGCGAGTACTCTCCCACCTGGGTGGCCTGGAGCTGGTGGTGGTCGTGCGCGTGGTGGTGCACCGGGTGGTGGTTCTGGAGGCGGGCCCTGTCAGTACCAGATCCAGACCGGTCCTCGCCGCGGCTTCGTTTGCGGTAAGATCGGTCATTCTACTCCTCGCTGTTTTCGTCGCCTGGACGACCTGTTCCGCCAGCGCTTTGGCCCGGCGCCCGACCTCCCGGACTGGCACAGCTTGCTTAGGCGTAGCGTTAGGATTTTTGACTTGGACATGGATGCCATTGTAGCGGCCTTGCATGTGATGTATGCTGATGACTCTAGTGTGCTTCCCTCTTATTACCCCGTGTTGCCTAGTGTAGCGGTGCCTAGCGTAGACTCCCCTGCTGCGTCAGGCGTAGGATCTCCTGCTTTGCTTAGCCTTGGTGCTTCCACCGCTTCACTGCTGCCTCGCGCGACTGCTGCGCTTTCCTTCACCTTGGACTCTGGCGCCTCCCGGTGTTTCTTCCGCGACTCCACGACGCTGACGCCGCTGCCTGTTCCCGCTGCAGTTACTCTTGCTGACCCCTCCGGTGGTCCCGTCGTTGCCCGCAGTTCCACCTCCCTTCCCTGTCCGGCGGTTCCTTCGGGCACTCTCACAGGTCTGCATATCCCCTCGTTCTCCAGGAACCTAGTTGGTGTCGGCTGCCTCCAGGACCTTGGCGTCACCACTACGTTCCCTGGTCACGAGCGGTATGCTATCTGTACCGAGGCCGCCACTGGTGCCCCCCTTACCACTTTCCCCCGGGACCCGGTGTCCGGCCTGTTCACACTTGACACCGCGCCGTCCCCGGCTGGGTCTTCCCCCCCGGTAGTTGCGTCCACCCAGGTTGCAGCCGCGTGCTCCTGTCGGTCCCTCACTCACCCGACTCTCCTTTGGCACCACCGCCTTGGTCACCCTGCACTCCCACGTCTGCGTCACATGTCCCAGCACGGTCTCGTCCTTGGTCTCCCCGGTTCGTTCCCCGAGTTTCCCTCCTCCCCCGCCCCACCGTGCACGCCTTGTGTCGAGGGCCGGCTCCGCCGTGCCCCTCACTCCTCCTCTTTTCCCCCTACCACCGCACCACTGCAGACTCTGCACATGGACGTCTGGGGCCCAGCCCCGGTCCATGGGCCGCGTCGCGAGCGCTTCTTCCTAGTGCTTGTCGACGACTTCACGCGCTACACCACCGTCTTCCCCCTGGAGCGGAAGGCCGACGTGCCTGACGTTCTCATCCCCTGGCTTGTCTCTGCTCGTGTCCACCGCGGTCTCCCTGCCTTGCGCCTTCACTCCGACCGGGGTGGCGAGTTTGCCTCAGGTGTCCTTGGTCGCTTCTGTCGTGCGGAGGGCATCACCCAGACGTTTACCCTGCCGGACTCCCCGCAGCAGAATGGGGTCGCTGAGCGACGCATCGGTTTGGTCATGGAGGTGGCTCGCACCTCCATGATCCACGCCGGTGCACCCCATTTTCTGTGGCCGTTCGCCGTGCGCTACGCCGCTCACCAGCTTAACCTGTGGCCGCACCCCCAGCGGCCGCAGGTTTCGCCGACCCTTCTGTGGACCGGGTCCCCTGGTGACGCGTCTGCGTTCCGCGTCTGGGGCTGCCTTGCTCACGTTCGTGCCTCTGGCACGGACAAGCTCACTGCCCGCACCCTCCCCTGCGTCTTCCTCGGTTTCCCCCTTGACGCGTCCGACTGGCACTTCTACCACCCGCCGTCTCACCGCTTCTTTCACTCTCGCGACGTCACCTTTGACGAGTCCGTCTCCTTCTACCGCCGCTTTCCCCACCGTGGTCCCCCGGTTACTCCCCCCCTTT